AGAGCAATTATAGGACTTGAACAGCGGAACTTTGTAACTGAACAAGAAATTATGTCTGTTTATAGAATATAGAATTAAAGAGAAAGTAATATCACATAAAATGAAGCCACTTCAACAACTTACATTGAAAGAAATGTTTAATAAAGTAAACTTGAACTTATGTAAAATAAATATTAAGCTTTTTTTTTTTTTTTTTTGTTGTTGTTTTTTGTAAATTTTGATACCCTTTAGATCATAATTTTTCTTTATTTCATAAATTACAGTTTCATATTTTTAATTTTATAATTTCTGCATGCCATCTTACTAGATTTAAACTGATGATCTATAATCCGGAAAAATCGATAATCCGGGATCGCCGAAGTCCCGATGAGTCCGGATTAACGACTTTTGACTGTAGTAATATTATGAGCGGGAGTTCTAACATCAGCTTTAGGCTTTTCTTTTGACTATTGGTTTTTTTGTCTTTTCCAATAAAAGACAAAAAACAATAAATAATAAATGTCATTCTCACTTTCATTTTCAGAATGCATCTCGATTTCTGAATCAGTATCATGAGAACTAAAAAATTCATTATAACTTACATCATCGGTTTCTTCAATGGAGTCGTCAAAGTTGACCCATACTCTAATAATTTTTTAAAACATAACATTTCTTCCTTATAGGATAAATTACGCTATATGTTTGCAGCTTTCTGTGCTACCACAAATGAACTATTTTACAGCAATGCGAATAGGTGCGCTGTGCGAATCTGAGAGATCCGATCCAATCAAATGAAAACTTTAAATCAAATTTCTGTCGAAAAATTTTGGAAACATAAAGAAGATGGCTTTGGATGACCCCAACCACACTGAAAAACAACCACTTTGGAAAAATAGGGGTGTTTTCAGAAAGGTTTCTCTAATCGGGTGGGTCCATTAGACCCAGCGCTCGCAGGTTAATAATACCTCATTCAAATGCAGCTTGCAAAAGAATTTTTTCTATTGTTCAGAGTTGCCACTCAAACAATAGAATGAAATTCCCCGACTTTTCTAGGTGTGTTTTAAGAAAATTCTAGTCTATACGCATAATGCACACTGGCTATGTTAAGAAGCAAATTAATTATGGTATTACTTGGATTCACTCTTTTTAGATAATTCTACTAAAATTGATCTCAAGAGATAATATAATCAATATTTCTTTAGTAAATAATATATATATATAATTCACAAAGCATTACTATTATAACTATAATAGGAGTTGTTTTCTCCACTAAAGATTGATATTAGAATCTGCCCAACCTAGATAAAAAAAAAAGTCTTTTTAATAATATTTTTAAATAAATTCAGGTATTTTATGTTTATTTAGCAGCATACATAAGCAAAAAATATGTGCATTAAATTTCATGATGGTATGTCAGTATACTGCTAGAATTAATTTCAGGATTAATTATGCCAGAAAAAATTTCCTGAAATTTGAAAGTATTATTTATTAATAATAAATCAATTTAGAGGGAAGAAGCAAGATTAAATGATATGAATAACATAAAAATAAAGATAATTACTTCAAAATTGAATTGGAATAATCAACAATATTTTAGCAAATATATTAAATGGTTTGCAGAGTTGGCTGATTACTATTTTTTCTATCTTACTGCAAAATGCCAAATAAGGCATTATTTAAAAGATTTTACAGTAAAATCCTAGTATACGCTAAGGCTTCGGGCATGATTTTGAAAATTGTCGGAAACTTCAAAATGAGCCGATACCACCGACAGTTAAGACTCGAGACTTAACTCTTGGGTAGTGTTGTTACTGCTCATCATAAAGTCGCCAAATCCCATGTGTACTGTACACAGAGGTTAGAATAGAATACATGGAGGCTATTCTAACCAAAGAATGTCCATGCAAAGAAGGAAAGCTTCATTAAACGTAATTATTACACTGCCAGAAAGCAGAGGGAAGTTTGTCAAGGGATTTGGCAACGGAACCTGGCGGCGTGAATTCTCCCCCCACGATGTTGGACAGGAAATCAAGGAACACGTGTTAAGAAAAAACATTCTTTGACAAAACCTTTCTTCTTTGATTTTTCACAATAATTTAAACATGGATTTTCATAGTGTTTCCCCCCCTCAAAATAACTAATTCATTAATTAATTTACTTATGTGAAAAAATATTTTCTTTCCATTTAAAGTTTAAAGAAATTTTACACGATATTCATTTTATGAACTCAAGATAACGTGACCTTTGAACTTCAACACTGGCTTCGAACTTTGTCGACAGATATTCCGCGCATGCACAGCTGTTTCTCTCTACGCTGGAACGACACCACTCCTGTTGTGGAGTTTTCCTTCTTAACAATACATATTCTTTGATTCTAACCTCCACTGTACCCTATACTAGGATTAAACTGATTTCGTTTTATATGAGATAAAGTATTTTGTTTAATTCAACACGCACAGCACATGCGATTCTCAAGGTTACTGGAAACTTGCTTTGCCTTTCTAAAAGACAATCTGATTGGAGCTGCGAAAATTGGCTGTATGCCAGCTGCCCGAATGATGCTCACCTGATACATAATTAGCCAAGAAAGTGATCGCTTCCAATGTCGGTGCAAAACTTGCTTTTTTGAGGAGATTGCCGTATGAAACTCCGTATGAATTTCCAGATTTTGACTAAAATATTTAAATTCCCTGACATTTTTGGTCAAATTTCGAGTTTCCTGACTTTTTCAGGTTTTCCAGGTAGCGTGGCAACCCTGATTGTTAAAAAAATCAGACTGAATTTCAACAAAATTTAGGTCCTAAAGCTCTCGAAGCAGTTTTGATTGAAAAAATAAATAAGCAGGCAAATGAAGAAATGTGTTATAAAAAGACATTCTCAAAATCAGAACTTAAGCTTGCTAAGCATGTTACATATAAATCTTTCCATTCATTACTCATACATATATTTCAATAGTTATATGTATTACTCTTGGTTATCTAAATTATTTTTAATTTTATTTCTCTGCGGAAATCAAATCTAGAATAAAGATATATGATTTATGGATTCTGAGTTTTTCTGTGATTAGTAGTGATTTAAAATACTTCCTTCAATCATATATTAGTAGATCTAGTGATATAGATGGCTTGAGGAGTTAAATGAAAATTTCTAATTATATATGCATATAATTTACAAGACATTTCGAATTTATTCAGTTTATATGTATAAACTGAATAAATTCGAAATTTGCATTCGAGTATTTAAATGCAATAAAATTGATTACAATGAATAATTAATTAAAAATTAATGAAAGGTTAATTAAAACATTACATGTGCATTTTCAAAGTTGTAAAAATGTTGTTCGCGCGTTGACTACTGGCAAGTTTTGCTGCAGGTTGGAATCTATGATTACTGTTTAAAAATCAGTCCATCATCAAAGATACAAGAGCCAAAAAAATCACAACAATCTTTATCAAAAACAACAAACAAGAAATAATTATCATTAACTATACTACATGAAATAATTTAAATTACTATTTATTTATATGAGGTGCTAAGTTTAATTTCACTAGATCTATATTATAAACTGACTGATTGAATTGATCTGGCAATGCTTGCTTATATGCTTTCTGCAAGATCTTCCAAAACAGTCCAAATTCGTTGTAAAGGGTCTATGCACCAATACAAACCTATACTACTGTCCAACCTTAGATGAGAACACTGGATATAGTAGAAAGTTTATGCATCTGCTGTAGAATACAGTTCTACCATTTCGAGATGTCGTATTGCGATATATGTATGGAATATATGTGCCTGAAATGTAAATACTCTTGAGCAAAGAGAACTGAATGAAAAAAGTATGCAAAACAATAGATAATGCTGTATCTGTCTTTTTATTTAAAAATTTAGTAATATCATGTCAATCATTTGATGACTAATAGAATAAATAATAAGCAGGCATTCCCTTTTCTGGCATAATTAATTATGAAGACTGTAAATTCTAGCAACCCCGACCTCACCACACTCTCAATGAAAAAAGCAATTAAAGCATTCATTGATTTACTGACAGTGATTAGAAGAAAACAATTCTGGACTATCTTTGACATATGTGTATAATTTCTAAACCTCACAAGACTGGAAAAAACATTACACATTTCTATTTAGATTATTCATTATGAGCACTTTTTTCAAGTTATGGGAGCATTTTCCTAATAAATCCAATATCGAAGTTGTTACTTTTGTTGTTGATTTGTCTGCTGTTTCTGTGGCAAGCATAAATAGCATAAAATACAACCCGAAGGAAAATGGTCGATTTTCGACTCGATGGAAAAAAATTACCTCTGAAAGTTTGTAAACAAAAACCTGAATCAAATGACATGATGAGGTAACTTCAGCAGCAATACAAAGAAATGTTCACAGATTCTTTTTATGGAATGAGTCATGAAAATTTTGTTCTAGCCTGTATGTGTTCTCAGGTTAGACTGTCGAGGGGTATATCGGCGCAATAGAGAAGGCCATTGCCATCTCAAGTTCACAAAAATATTCAACTCCAGCAACTTTACAATGTCAAGTAAGAATAAATTGCACACACAGAAAAAAGTATCTAGATATTTTTAGTTTCTCACTTGTTTCTTATTTAGATAGGCCAAACACCTTGTTTTAATTAATTACGAACCTTTTATAATACTTTGCTACGTTCCTGTGAAAAGGCCGTAACACACAGTTTGGAAACCACTGTGTTAATTTAATCTTTATGCCATTAATCAAACTTGTGATCAATAGCAATCTATTTATTATTTGAAGTTAAAAAATTGCAGAAACTGTATAGGATACTAGTGTCCCCAAACCTCATGTACTTTAAGAATCAACTGTAAGATATAACCTTTGCATCAGCACAACTTTTCAGAATATCTAATAGCTTGATATGATGAAGCCTGTAAACTATACATACATATTTATTTCAGCTATATAAATATACATACACCATACATTACATATATATATTAATGGTTTCACATAAAAAAGAATCAATTATCACTTACTTGCCTTTATACTGCCATCCTACCATTTTATCTACAGGGGATGGAGCTAGTCCAGTTGGATTTAGATGTTCCCAATCGTATGTTTCAAGATTAAGTCTGTACAGTCTATTGGTACAACCTTCACCATTGTACCCATAACCACCAAACAAATATAAGTATTCATCAATCATTACTGCTGCAGATCCAGACATTCCCGGTGGAAAATCTGAATTTACACAACTTATCAACAACCTAAAAAGAACAGTTCTAATATTACAATATGCTTAAAGAAACTGAAAATTTTTTAACCCCCCCCCCGAAAGAAAATGGATTTAAATTTCACCTCTTAGTTAAGGATTAGATTTATACTCCAACTCAATTAAGTAATTTTAAGATAAAATAATTATTAACTATTATTCCTCCAGAAATTTCACTGCTTCTGTTCAGTATCATATAAATTTTTTTTAAATCCCCAGCAAGCCCATATACAGTCCCCTAAATATTAAAGGTAAAACATAAAATATGTAAACCATCTACCAGACATTGCAGTACAGTTGGTGAGCAACTGCATTTCAATATGCTTTTCAACATGCAGAGTTTGATGCTATTGAAGATTACAGATATAAGGTTGTCAGAATTGAAAAAGTGAAAGATATTCTTAAGAATCTTCAAAATGAAAGTATTTGATTTTGAATGCATCTCTTATAAGAATTTAAGCAAATGTACATTTAAATAGCCAAAGCTTGAATTACAAAAATATGAAGGTAAAATTAAGGAGTGGCCTTTTTTTCACTATGGAAAAAAATGGACCAAGATACTACTATTTTTGACAGTGGATAAACTTCACTATTTATTACAAGTCACCATTGAGGGCTTATAAGCAAGTTTAAAAGGAGATTATAGAAAGCTTTCTCCCTACAGCTGCTAATTATCCCAAGGCCATGAATGTTTGAAGACTTGTTTTGATCTAAATGACTTGCTTTATGCGAGAGAATTTTTAAAATTGGTCATGAGAAATGAAAATTCCAGTAATTTTTCTAATAAATTATGTGTACTGTATGATAACTTCGAACAACAAATTCGGGCCTGGGTACAGCTGACATCACTACAGGTAAAAGTGCTATACATCTTTATCCCTTAGTTGAGGCTTGCTTACCAGATTTTTTTTTAAAGCTATAAAAGAAGTGCAAATATTGGCCATAATCTAGACCCAAAATATAGCCTGGATAGTTTATTAAAATTTTAGAAATCAAAAGTATAATCTGAAACTTCATACATTTAGCTACAGCTAGTTTTGGTTTGCAGAATGAAAGGTCCTTAAGAATGAAATATATTAAAATTGTTCATGAAAGACTTTTAATAGCAGCAAGTTTGTTGAGTGCTAATTCTCCTGCTAAGCATAAAACATGTTTTGTAGTAGAAAACACGATTCCTTTAATTGTTAAGCCAAAAAAATGCCATTTTCAGAAAGGCAAAACCTTTTAAGAGATAAGGGGCGCTGTTTAAAGGCTGGTCATTGTGCAAATAAATGCAAGAATCCTATTAAAATTGTAAATTGCCAAAGAATACAAATGTAATTATGCATTTGTAAATACCGAAAAACTGTTTTGATTCGAAATCCAACTTCATTTTATATCCAATTTATTTCACTTTACGAACACATACAGATAAATATGATAATTTACATGTAGAGTTTAGCATAAAGATCAAGTGATCAGTACATCTTAATGATGAAAAAGCATTAAATATTTCAGTAACGTTAACTAACTTAACTGCTGCTTACCTAGAAGAACGGGAATTTCCTTGATCACAATATTCGAAAACGAAACTGGTTGCTAGATTCATACATCAAACAAAATTGAAAAACATACAATAGTTTGTTTTGTAATTTAATGAATAATAATTATTTAGTAAACTTAATAGGAGTCGCAACAACAACAAACTATTGTTTGTTGATATTGTGACTAGTATTAAGTTTAGCATTGCCCGTTTCTTATTATTTAATAAAATAATTTGAAATGGGAAATGCTAAACTTAATAGGAGTCGTAACATCCTCCCCCCTTTTGCATTGCAGGCATGTTTTCTTAAAGCAATGCAAAATTAAGTAATGAAAATGTATACATATAATAGACAAATTTTAACACAAGCCATGAAACTAAACTAAGAACTATAAACACGTGAATATAACATCAAAGAACAATAAACGCACAAATGATATTATAATTATCAACGTCTGAGGAAAAAAGTCAATAGCAGTTCATAAGTCCATACGTTTAACAGACACTACTCGACGACTGCTGCACATTACCTTTACATTTTACGGAATCTTGTATTCGCAAGTTTCTGATTCTGGCATAGTCTCAGGTTTTTGAAGTTCTTCATTGAATGAAGTTGTCAGCAGAGGTAAGCTCCAAAGGATAAATTCGCTGAAGAGGCCATATTGTTTCACCACTGGCGACTCGTAGTTTTGCAACACGTTCGATATTGTCTTTGCCAGGAAACAGTTCAATCACCTGGGCTAAAGGCAAATTTATCCTGTTTAGATTCTTTGATTCAACTAGAACAATTTTTCCCGTATAAATCGTTTTTCTCCTTGAAGATTATTTAGGACTTCTTACTAATTCTCCAAGATATTCTTTAGAAAAACGTTTTCGTATATTTAGCCGTAAAGTATAAAGATAACGTACACATTCTGGTAAGTGCTGAGAGTCAATTAAATCCAAATCAATGGTTTCTCGTTCCCCTAAATCTTGAATAAAGTGAGTGTTGGTATGCATATAGTGATGGACTGTCGCCAATAGCAGGATAAACTGTATGAACTGGAAACCCTGCAAAAGAGTTAACTGTGTAACTCTCTTATTCTTTACACTTACTTTTCTCACTCCTTCAGGAAAGGACAGTGATATGACACTCTCTACAATATAACACTCCTTTTTCAATATGTATTTGAAATACTAACGAATTTTTATCTATTTTTCATGTATCAATAAAGAATGTGTTTTTGTGATTTTACAATTACTGTCTACACCTATTTTGGATTACAAGTTAATTAGGTATGATCTCGCTTGATGCTGCGCTGGATACAAGGTAAGAAGAATCATTTTGCTAATCATTTTGCTCTCTATTTTTATTAATTTTGTTGTGAAATTTCGAGGCTATAAAATGTTTTACAACAAAAGATTATGAGACTGATGAAAAGATCATAGCTTAATTTAAATACCAAATTCGTAATAATAGTAACAAAAAAAACTGGTAAAGTCTAAACTGTAGTTTCATATCAAAAACCGAAAAATAGAAATTTTTTGTCGACAATACAAAAATGTTGCATTCAAATCAAATGCAAATTGCAAAACTGAATTCTAGCAATTACTCAACATGGAAATTCAAAATGCAAATGAGTCCTACTAATCCTACTAATAAAGGCAAGCTAACAATCCTACTAATAAAGGACGATCTTTACGATGTAATCGAAAGATGATACCTTCCAAGCCCCATTACAGAACAAATGGAGTAAACGGGATCGGCAATGTCGCGCGATGATAAATTTATTTATCGAAGACAGCCAAATAATTCACATTAAACATGAAACTACTTGCTAAAGCCACCTGGGAAAAACTCAGGCAGGTACATGAAAGGTCTAATCTTTCCAAGTAAACTATTTCTTTTGCGAAAGCTTTTACAGTTTGAAGCTTGAAGAAAAGACGGAAATATGCAAACACATATAAATACATTACTGGAGTTGGTGGATAAACTCAAATCAATAGGTGAGAACATAAAAGACGAACACGTTTCGGCACTTTTGCTTTGTTCAATGCCTAGTTCTTACGATACGCTCATTACGGCTCTTGAAGCCAGAGCAGAATCGGAACTGAATCCAGAATTCTTAAAGGAAAATTAATTGACGAATTTAACAAGAGAGTTGAAAATAATTCATCAGATTAAAAGAAAGGCTTAAAGCCTCATTTCAAAACAAGACAAAGAGAGAAAAGTTTTGCTCATATTGTCATAAAAATAACATTTTAGATCAGAGTGTTATCATCTAAAATCGAAACAAAGAAATGAACCGCGCCAAAACTCAAAGAAAACATACGCGGATTCTAAAACACGCCAAGCAAAGAATGTCGGTAACCTCGCGATGAATCAACAACAAACAAAAATTAAAACACGTGAAATCGAATCCAGATGTGACAGAGTCGCTCTGTCTATTAACTTACATCAATCATCCGAGAGTTTTATTTTCGACAGCGGAGCAAGTAATCACCCGGTAAATAATAAGAAATATTTCACGGAATGTAAACCCATAAATCCGTCAGATATTATAACTGCGAATGGGCAATGTATTAAATCAACGGCGATAGGAACTGTCTGTTTAAAACATTAAAATGCTAAACAAAAAATAATTGACGTTCTCTTATCGGAAGTTTTATAAGCTCCTGAATTAGAAACGAATTTAATCTCAATTAAGAAAATAACGGAAAAAGGACTTCCGGTTCTGTTTGAAGGAAATAAATGTATGATCATGAAGGGAGATCAGATTATTCTAGAAGGTCATGCAACTAATAATCTTTACCAAATTAAACCAATTAACAGGAATAATGAACCATCAGTTCATGTAGCATTTCAGTGCAAAAATGAGAATTGTGTTCAACTTTGGCACAGACGCCTTGGCCACAGAAACGATGACGCAATCAAGCAACTTGTAAACAAAGAACTCGCTGAAGTAATTAAACTAGATAATTGTAAACATGATACAAAATGCATTCAGTGCATAAAATGTAAACTAACTGATTTTCCGTATCCCAAAGAATCGAAATAAGAACTCGCTGAAGGAATTAAACTAGATAATTGTTAACATGATACAAAATGCATTCAGTGCATAAAATGTAAACTAACTGATTTTCCGTATCCCAAAGAATCGAAATTCAGAGCATCTAAAACACTAGAACTCGTTCACACTGATGTTTTCGAACCAGTACAAACACCGTCTGTCAGTGGATATACTTCGTAACTTTTATTGATGAAAATGATTAATGCAGGTTCACAATCATTTACCTAATGAAAAACAAAAATGAAGTAATTTCTAAACTAAAACAATTCATTGCTCTTACAAACAATAAATTCGGGAGAAAGGTAAAAACGCTAAGAAGTGATAACGGTGGTGAGTACACAAGTAAGGAACTTGAAGAATATCTTATAAAACAAGGTATAAATCACCAGCTTACTGTACGGTATTGTCCAGCACAAAATGGGG